CCGAACGGTGCGCGCAAAGCTCCAGGGCGGTCCGGGGGTGGCCGCCGGGGGTGCTCCGGGCCCCCAAGCCAAGCCGGGGACTCGCCTGCCCCCGGTGGCGGCTCGGCCGCGGCTTCGCCTAGGCTCGCAGCTCGGAGGCGCGTGGGGCGCAGCGGCGAGGGGGAGCCTGCGGACCTCCCCGGCGGGGACCGAGCGGGGAGCTGGGAGTCCCGGGAGGGCCCTGGGAGCAGTGTCCGGGCCTCCCTCGCGGCTCTTGGGTTTCTCCTCTCCACCCAGACGCCCGCTAGGCTCGGGCTGCCGCCACAAAGTCGCTCTCCGTGTAGAGAAGGCAAAGAAAAAAAGAAAAAGAAAGAAAAAACCCAGAAGAATTAAAAGCATAATTTCAGACCGCCGCGCGCGCCAGGGCGTTCCGCGCTACCTGCCCGCGCCGCCCGCGCTCGCGTTCCCCGGGGAGGGCGCCAGTGCTCCGCGCGCCCCAGCAAGGGTGGCTCCCCGGCCGCGCCTTCCTTCCGCCGCCCGGGAAGCTTGAGCTCAACGATTAGCCCTTGATCCTCGGGGTCCCGGTCCACGGAACAGCTTCCCTGCTTCCCCCGAACTGGGGCATTTTACTTTTTCTGGGATCCTCTAAACTTAAGCATTGCTTCCCAAGTCTTCCAGATATATTCAGCATTTCCATGGGTCACAAGAATTTTCTTGGACATTAATTTCCGGGGACGTCAAAACACATCAGCCCGGCTGGCTTTTCCAGACTACACTATGCGGCCTGTGGCCCCAGATTTGCTTTCCCCCAGGCTCTGGACAGTTTCACACACTCCCTCCTGATCGCACGGATTTACAGACCGGCAACCCGAGTTCCCTAATTTTAAAGAGGAAACCCTTGGTCTGTGGCGCTCACGCGGACCAATTTGCCTGGCTCCCCAGAATGTGGATAGTGCCTTTTCCACGCTTACGCATTGTTCCCAAACGAGTGGAACTTCCCCCCATAATTCTGAATATTAACTCCAGGTCTCCTGAGCTTACTGTCTCCCCCACATTTCCACCTCATTCCGCATCCCCCTTTCCGTTCACCTCAGCATGCCACATTTGCTTCTTCCGAGTTCCGCAAATCTATTCACACTGACCTGGGTTCCCTAAATTTTACACGTTGAATCCCAAGTCCCCCATGCCACTGAGCAGGGCTGGAAGGCCAGAACCCTCAGAGTATAAAAATCGCTCCCCGTGCTTTCCCCTAAGTCCAGGCATTACACCCAGAGGCCACTGAATCCTTTTCTGAATCACAAATGACCTGGGCTCTGATTGCCTGAGTTTCATAAAATGGAGAGCTTTCCTCAGTGATCCCAAAACCTATTCAGAATGTGCGAGGGCGAGTCGCAAAGCTTTGGAGCGTTAACCTCTACGCTATACACGGTTCCTGGCCATGAATCAGGTCCCTTAAGATGTAGACACTGCCACCCAGGTCCCTGGAGCACACTGGGCAGTTAGCAGGAGGTGCTCAAGTGTGACCTAGGATTCTCCAGGTCCCCCCAAATCACACTGGGGAGTCTCCTGGCTCCCGCTGGGCTACACCAAGCACAAAAGGACCCCTTCCTTGGACAGAGGCTTTTTTAATTTGTGTGACGCCTGGTGTTGCTAATGGCCTCAGTTCCCAAACACTCTGAGCATTTTCTCTGCATCACAACATGTTGACTATTAAACAATTCTCTGGGTCCCAGGAGCTTCATGACAAGAATCTCAGTTTTCTAAAATTCAGGCACTGGTCGGAAACCACACGGCCAGGATCACACTGGACCCTTTTCCTGGTGCCCCACACTTGGATGTGCTGGGCACTGCCCTGAGGCCCTCCAGAAACATTCAGTGTTGCCCTTGGATCACAGGAAGGCACTGGTTTCTTGAGCTCCAAACAACCCACTGAGTCATCTCAAAGTTAAGCAATATTTCCTTCAAATACACTACACCCTCCCTGTCTATCACAAAATCTGAAAATTCCTAAGTCCTAACGCCTAGAAACTCTGAATCCCCTTTCTCTAAAATATACATATTGACCCCCCAAGTCTCCAAGGACTCTGAGCAACTTTTCTAGATCTTTAGATTCAAAAACAATTTTCCTGGAGCCCCCAAATTGAGGTATTGTCTCCCAGCCTTCCAAAACAAATTGAGATTTTTTTTCCTTCACAAAACAATTGAGGTTTTTTTTTGTTTTGTTTTGTTTTTGTTTGTTGTTTATTTCTTTTTGCTTTTTTTTTTTTTCTGGACACTGATTTATGAGTCTCCTGACTTTATGGTCCCTGCCCTGGGTCCCCCTAAATTTAGAAAATGTTCCATGGACCCCCCAAAGCACATTTAAGAATGTTCCTAACTACTAACCCGGTTCCCGGAAATTTAGATATGAAATCTCCACTGGGTAATTTCCGTGGGTCCCAAAAGCTTGAAACGTATTTGACTGGGCTTCCCCAAATGCAGACACTGTCCAGGAAAACATACAGCATTTTTCTTGTTTACCAAAAACAAACTATGGAAATCACTTAAAAATTAACATAGAAAAAGAATACTGATTTTTTTTTTTTGCTTGCCCCAAATGTACTGATTACACTCCAGGTTCCCCCAAAATTTAGACAGTGCTTCCTCCGTCTCTGAAGGATATTAAAACCTTTCCCTGAAGCCACGGTAATTATGAAGGTTATTTTCACCCGGATGCTGCAAGCGTCCAGGCCACTAACTTTTATTCTTAACATGTGAAAATTAATCTCAGCTTCCCCCTAACACACCAAGAATGTGTTTGGATCCCCAAAATGTGTCCCTTGCTTTCATCTGCCAATTTCAGGCAATGTGCTTCTTAGGCAACCCCTACCAACTGCATATGGAGAATTTTCTTTAACTAACCTCTCCTCACAAATCGGTCTGGGATTTCGTGGGTCCTCCAAGCTAGCTGGTCCTTATTTTAGACCCCTCTCTCGATGCTCCCAATGCATGGAGCAATTTCCCTCATCCCCCAAACCTGTCATCTACTTTTTGGAGTCTCAGGTTTAGTCATTAATCACGGGTCTCAAATTAGCGGAGCCCCTGGGTTCCCCTCCTCCAGGACACCCATTCGCTAAGCCCCCAAGGCAGAGTTGCGTTTCCCAAAATTTGGGCATTGTTCCCGGCTCGCCGGCCGCCCACTACAGCTTCCCCAACCCCGCGCACAGCGGGCACTGGTTTCGGGCCTGTCTCCTACCAAGTCCCCAGAGCAACTCGGACTTGGGAAATTTCTCTCGTGTTCCCCAAACACACGTGGGTCTGCCGCGCGCCCCCAGGACGTGGGCAGGGCTTCCCCGTGTCCAGGAAAGCGACCGGGCATTGCCCCCAGTCTCCCCCAAATTTGGGCATTGTCTCCTGGTCTTCCAACGGACTGGGCGTTGCTCGCAGACACCGAGGACTGGCCCCGGGGTCTCGCTCACCTTCAGCAGCGTCCACCGCCCTCCACAGAGCGTTCGATCGCCCGCTGCCTGGGCTCCTGGTGCGCCCGCGGACTCAGCCTCCAACTTCGCGGTGAGCTCCCCGCCGCGCCGGTCCCCGCCGCCTCTGCGCCCCTGCCTGGCTCCCGCCCTCATCCGCTGCCTTCCCGCCGAGGCTGGCGCTCTCTCGGGCTGCCGCCTGGGAGGCCGGCACGGGGCGCGGAACCGGGCTGCGGACTTGCGGCTTGGCGGCCCGCTGGCTCCGGCTGGGCGCCCCGAAATCAGCACCACTTTTGTTTGCTCATTGCAAAGATCACACTTGTGGGGAAAGCTGCTGGAGGGGCCCGAAGTGGGGCGGGCGGGGCGCTGGGGCTAGGGACGCGGAGGAGAGGCACTCCCGCCGGGCAGCAAAGTGCCTGTAGCCCGCGGGCCTAGGACTCCGCCGGGAGGCGCGCGCGGAACGCGGGCGAAGTGATTGATGGCGGAGCGAGGGGGGCGATGGGGGCTGGGGGGCGCGAGTTTCCGCTGGCGGCCCCTTCCCCTTGGCCAGGCTTAGGCGGCGGGGTGCGGGATTTGGTGCGTGGTTTTGACTTGGTAAAAATCACAGTGCTTTCTTACATCGTCCAAACTCTCCAGGAGATGGTCTCCCCAGACCCCCAAATTATCGCGGTGGCCCCCGAGACTGAACTCGCGTCTATGCCAGTCCAACGTTCTGAGGACGGGGTAACCATTATCCGGATATTTTGGGTGGGCCCCAGAGGCGAGCTGCTTAGACGCAACGCGGTGAGCTCGGCCATGCAGGTAGGATTTGATCTGTGTTTCCCGCTCTAATCTCTCTCCTCTGGCGGCCGCAGCCTCGCACCCTAGGCGGGCTCCAAGCCTGGCCCAGATTCGGCCCAGCCCAGTTGGCCTTGCCGGTGTCCCGCACCTGGCCGGGGCTCCGGGGCTCCGGCGCGGCACCGGGGGGCGCTCGGGATCTGGCTGAGGCTTTAGGCGCCGCGTGGCCGGCTCCTCCTGCTGGGGCAGGTGGCGGATGCGCGCTCCGCCCGAGCCCAGGGGCTCCCTCCGCGGCCGCAACCAGCAGGGACCCCCGACCCAGCCCCTAACCACCTGCCTCTGCAGTCAGACGCGGCGCACTGGCGGTGTAGTCTCCTGGCGGGGCGTTGGGAGCCGGCCTGCGCCTGCCTGCCCGGAGACCCTAGCTCACGAGCACAGGCCACCCGGGCACCCTAGAAACCGGAGATGGGGCCCCCGAATTCTCTAGAACGGGCATTCAGCATGGCCTTCGTGCTCGGCGACTCCCTGCCCCCCACCCATCTTCCCCCCGCGCCCCCCCGCCCCCGCCGCCCCCCCGGGGGGCCCCAGAGCCCCCGGCCCATACCCCCCCCCGCCCCGCGCTTGGCTCGGGTTGCGGGGGCGGGCCAAAGGCGGGGCGAGGGCTCCGCGGGCGCCCATTGGCGCGGGCGCAAGGCCAGCGGGGCTCGCGCGGGCGCTGGGCCGCGGGCTGGCGCGACTATAAGAGCCGGGCGTGGGCGCCCGCAGTTCGCCTGCTCTCCGGCGGAGCTGCGTGAGGCCCGGTTGGCCCCGGCCCCCCCTTCCGGCCGCCCCCGCCTCCCGGCCCACGCCCGCCCCGCGCTCGGCCCACCAGCGCCTCCACCGGGCAGGCGGCCCCGCGTCGACGTCGCCCGCTGCCTCGCTGCTGACTCCCGTCCCGGGCGCCGTCCGCGGGGTCGCGCTCCGCCGGGCCTGCGGATTCCCCGCCGCCTCCTCTTTATCTACCTCAACCCCCCATCCCCGCTTCGCCCGAGGAGGCGGTTCCCCCCGCAGGCAGTCCGGCTCGCAGGCCGCCGGCGTTGTCACCCCCCGCGCTCCCCCCCCAGCCCTCCCCCCGGCGCGCAGCCTCGGGCCGCTCCCCTTCTACGCTGCGTCCCGAGCGGCCCCGGCGCCGCCACCGCCTGTCTCCCCCCGAGGCCCGGGCTTGCGACGGCTGAGGGCTCCGTCGCCCCAAACCGAGCTGGGTGCCCGCGGCCCGGGTGCAGCCTCCACTCCGCCCCGCAGTCACCTCCGCCCCCGGCCCCTAGACGTGGCGCCCTTCCCTTGGCTTCTCTGTGCTCCCCGCGCCCCTCTTGGCATCTGGCCCCGGCCCCGCTCTTTCTCCCGCAATCTTCCCTTCGCTCCCTCCCGTCCCCCCCAGCTCCCAGCCTCAGACTCCCTCCCCGCCTCACGCCCGCCCTCTCGCCTTCGCAGAACCAAAGTGGATTAATTACACGCTTTCTGTTTCTCTCCGTGCTGTTCTCTCCCGCTGTGAGCCTGCCCGCCTCTCGCTGTCCTCTCTCCCTCTCGCCCTGTCTTCGGCCCCCCCCTTTTCACGTTCACTCTGTCTCTCCCACTATCTCTGCCCCCCTCTATCCTTGATACAACAGCTGACCTCATTTCCCGATACCTTTTCCCCCCCTAAAAGTACAACATCTGGCCCGCCCCAGCCCGAAGACGGCCCGTCCTCCCTAGACGATCAGACGAATTCCTCCCCCCCAAAAAAAGCCATCCCCCCGCTCTGCCCCGTCGCACATTCGGCCTCCGCGACTCGGCCAGAGCGGCGCTGGCAGAGGAGTGTCCGGCAGGAGGGCCAACGCCCGCTGTTCGGTTTGCGACACGCAGCAGGGAGGTGGGCGGCATTGTCGCCGGCTTCCAGGTAAGCGGCGCGCGGGCCGGGGCTGGGGCCGGGGCGGCGCGGGCTGCGCCGGACGCCTGGCCCTTCCTCCGCCTGCTCGCGGCCCGGGCCTGCGGGGTTTGGTGGGGCGGCTGAGCCCGGGGTTGTGGAGGGGGGAGGAGGAGGAGGAGGACAGGCAGCTTCGGGGCCGTTCCCTGAGCGGAGTTCCCTGCGCGCTCACCCTGGCGGCGGGCCTGGGGTGGGGTGGGGGTGTCGGGAGGGGCCGAGGGAGGTGTGCACTGTCTGCAAGGGCCACTTCCTGGTCAGTCTGTGGGTGTCGGGGGTGCAGCCGAACATGTGTGATTCGTGCCTGGCGGGCCCTGGCCTCCCTCTGGGGTGCTGGGTAATGAGGAGGGGCGCGGAGGCGCAGAAGCCCACCCTGGTATGTTGACGCGGTGCCAGCAAGACCGCGAGAGGAAGACGGGGTGGGCGGGGCCGGGATGGAGAGGGGCAGAGCTGGCAGGAGACGCCACATTCGCGATATCTCCCCCCACACCCCCTCTTGCTCTGTCCGCAACGTTTCCAAAACGGAGTCCCGGGAGAGGGAGAGAGGGGCTGCTGGTCTGGGGCCAAGAAGGGCAGAGACTTCAAGCCAGAGAGGCTCCTGCCCAGTGGGCAGCGTGGAAGTTTCCATACAAGGAGGTGGGAAGACCCCCCCCCCGTGCAGAACGGGGCTGGGGGTGCAGGATGGGGAGCCAGTGGCACTTTGCGAAGGGATGGTCCAGAGCTCGGGGGTGGGGGGTGCAGGAGAGAAGAGACTGGTTGGGAGGAGGGAGGGGGCGGGAGCAAAGCCGCGGGGGAGTGGTCAGCAGGGAGAGGGGTGGGGGGCAGGGTGGAGCCCGGGCTGGGCGGAGCCCGGCTCAGGGATAAAAGCCGAGGCACTGACCAGCCTGCAGACTGGACATTGGCTTCTCCTGTGAGAGAGACTCTTCCAGCCTCCTCTTCCTTCTCTTCCTTCTCCTCCTCCAGCCCCAGCGAGCCTCCTGCTGAGCTGTAGGTAACCAGGGCTGTGGAGTGAGGATCCCCGCTGCCATCCCACTCCAGCCTGAGACAGGGCAGCAGGGGGCACGGCCCACGTCTGGGGCTCGGGCCCTGCAGCCGCCCGCACGCCCGCTCGCCTGCTGCCTCTCCAACAGCACCACCCTTCCTTTCTCTGCCTCTGCCCCTGCCCCTACCTGGTCTCTGCTTCCTCACCTGCTCCTTCCGTTTCTTCCTTCCCTTCGGCCCCCTCCCCCGTCCAGCGCGGGGCTTTTCCTGGGTCCTCACCTGCTCCGCATCTCCGCGGGCTTCCCGTCCCAGTCCCGCTTTTCTGAGCCCGCACCCTGAGCCAGACCTCCAGGTTCAGAGTGGTGGGGTTGGCTCCGGAATCGAAGCGAGGGCTCGCGTGGCCAGCTGGTGGGGTGTGCTCTTGGAATTTGAAAGCGGGTGGCAGAGGGGGTGGCGAAGGGACTGGCTGGGGCCCAGTCAAGGAGATGATCGAGGAGGCTTTCAGACTCTCGGCAGGGCCGCCCACTGCTCTAGAGAGAGGCCACGCAAAGCGGTGCTTCGGCCCCGCAATTTATTGCATCAGAAAGTCTCCTGGGTCTGTGGAGGGAAGGCTGGGGCTGCCGCCCTGAGGGGGCAGGAGCGGCCTGCTGTAGTGACCCCGGCCTCCCACCCCGAGGTGGTTTACCCCTGCAGCCCTGCAGCCTGTGGAGGGGGTGTGTCTGAAGATCGGCCTCTCCTTCCAGATTGCAGTCGGGGATCCTGGGGTCTGATGTCCCAGGTGGTCTGAGCTGGTCTCTCCAGCTCCCGCCAGGAGAGTTTGGTAGCGCAAATGGGGAGATTTTCTGGAGGTCCCTGGCCTCAGTGCTTCAACTTGAGGTCTGGAAGGGAGGCTCTGGGCTTGCGTGTGTGTTTGGGGTGCCTCAGGCAGACTGGAGTTTGAGAACTGGGTGACTGGGAAAACAAGATCCCTAGGAGCATGGGTGTCGGGGTAGTGCTAAGCATTGGAGTCCTTGACCCAGGTCTGGCTCAGCTGCAGACTGGAAAGGTGGCAAAACCAGGGAGGGGGTGGGGCCTGCTGCGTTGAGGGGGATGGTCCTCCTGGACACCCCTGTTCAGCTGGGGGTCGGGGGGGGGTGAGGGAAGCGGACTGGTCCTCCTGGAGGCACAGGCTCTGTAGGGGCTGGGGCTAAGGCCTGAGAAGTGGTGATGTGCCCCTGGCTGGCCCTGCCCCTGTGGTGTCATAGCACAGAGGCCAGGTCCGGGGTCCAGCTTGGCCCCTACTGCTGTGGATGCCGCTGAGCTCCTGCAATAATGACCATGGAGATGGTCACCCCTCTCATCAAATTACTAGAGCTTCTTGCAAATCAAAGCAAGGCGGCCTTCCCATGTGCTTCCACACGCACCGCCCTCCACGTGGCCCGTGCCCTCACCTCAGCGTCATGGCCTATGTGTTACTTTTGTAATAAAAATAATGTTTCTAGGAAATCCTTTAAATGCTTTAAATGTTCAATTGAATTTCTAGGTTGGCTGAGTGTCCCTGTTCGGGAGGGGCGCCCCTGGCCTAGGGCTTGGCCCAGCTGCCCTGCTCATGCGGCTTCTCTCCCGCCCGCAGGTACCAATGGGATTCCCAATGGGGAAGTCGATGCTGGTGCTTCTCACCTTCTTGGCCTTCGCCTCGTGCTGCATTGCTGCTTACCGCCCCAGGGAGACCTTGTGTGGCGGGGAGCTGGTGGACACCCTCCAGTTCGTCTGTGGGGACCGCGGCTTCTACTTCAGTAAGTGGTGGGGGGCTTCCTCAAACGTGCTCAGGCCCCTGGCCTCAAGCCAAGGGGAGCACACTCCAATGTCAGCGGCCCGGCCCCTTACCGTGAGACTTTGACCTTCCAGCCGAATTTCCCACACCCGCTGACTTTCCCATCACATGCTCCTGTGAAGGGTGAGCCAGAGGGGACACCCACGGGGGTTGCCCTCGGCATCAGAATTCCTGATGGGAGCCACGAGGCTCCGGCTGCCAAGGCACTGCGCCGCTAGGGCTTCAGGCTCTAAAGGAAGAGCCTGCCTTTCTTCCTGCACCTTTTGGATGTTTTGACAAGGGACGTATGTTCAATGAGTGATCAGAATTAAAATAAAGTGACTTAAAGAATTAAACCCAATAAAGCAAGAGCAGCTGGCAGGTGGCAGGGCTGAGCATGCATGCGCCTCCTGACTGTGCATGCAGCGTGTGCTGGGTGTGCATGCACCGTGGGGGGTGCCCGCCTGCTGACGGCAAGACACTTCGGCCTTTCCTCCTGTTTCTCTCTCGGTCTTCCAGCCTGGGGGCTGGCAGGTGGGTGCACAGCTTGCTGTCCTTGAGACCCCACCCTCAGAGGGGGGCTGGGTGGATGCAGAGGCAGGCATGGTGCCTGGGCATGCCTGATGGGGTGGGGGAGGGACAGCCCCTCACTGGCTGGGGCCGCACGGCTTATCCCACCTGACACTCACCCGGAGTGGCATCTTCACCACCTCTACTTACCCACTCTTTGAAATGGGCTCACAGGATGCAAATGTACTTCAAAACTTTTCTCTGGAAAGTGTTTCTGCTGCTTGACCCTGGAAGCCCACGCCTGCCCTGGCCTCTCCTGTGCCCCCTCTCTCTCCTGCCCCATTTGGGGGTAGGACGTGGCACTGCAGGGCCTGGTGCCAGCCGGTCCTTTCCCAGGGAGAAGCTTCCCTGCACCAGGCTTTCCTGAGAGGAGGGGAGGGCCGAGCCCCCACTTGGGGGACCCCGTGATGGGGCTCCTGCTCCCTCCTCCGGCTGATGGCACCTGCCCTTTGGCACCCCAAGGTGGAGCCCCAGCAACTCACCCCTTCCAGCTAGCTGAGCCTTGCTGTGGGGGAGAGGGGGAAGACGGGAGGAAAGAAGGGAGTGGTTCCATCGCGCCTCCTCACTCCTCTCCTCCCGTCTTCTTCTCTCCTGCCCTTGTCTCCCTGTCTCAGCAGCTGCAGGGGTGGTGTGGGCCCCTCCAGCCTCCTGGGTGGCGCCAAGCCAGAGTCCAAGCTCAGGGACAGCAGTCCCCTCCTGTGGGGTCCCCTGAACTGGGTTCACACCTCACACCTTTCCCTAACCACCCTCAGTGTGGGCCTTTGGTCCTGGTGGGGTCCATCTGGCCATGGGACCGAGAGCTTGTGCCCACTGTTCATCTGAGGGAGGAGGCAGCAGAGGCCAGGGGCTGGTCTGGATCCCGCTCACCTCCCTCCCACCTCTCTTCTTTCTGGGACACCTCTGCCTGCCAGCTCTGGCTTCCCTCCCCTGACCCGAAGGGTGGCCTGGGGACAGGGCTGTTTTCTCCTCCCGCAGCCCCCCCGGGACAGTGGGGCAGTGCGGTGCTAACGCCCTCTCTCTGTGCTGTGGACTTCCAGGCAGGCCCGCAAGCCGTGTGAGCCGTCGCAGCCGTGGCATCGTGGAGGAGTGCTGCTTCCGCAGCTGCGACCTGGCCCTCCTGGAGACCTACTGTGCCACCCCCGCCAAGTCCGAGAGGGACGTGTCGACCTCTCCGACCGTGCTTCCGGTGAGGGTTCTGGGCCCCTTCCTCTTTCCCTCAAGACAGAGAAACAGGGCTTTGGGCTCTTGGTGTTTCCTGTGGCCACTGGGACTCTTAGCCGGGGGTGAGGACCCGTGACTTCTTTGCTTGCTACGTGGCTGGGGAGCAGCTCAGGCGTTGGCCCCTCCCATCCCCCTGCCCCTGGACGTTAGCCAGTGCAGTCATGGGGTGAGGGGTGGGATGTCAGATCAGGTGGGTGGCTCAGGCGGAGGAGCAGAGAGTGGCCATCTGCTGACCAGCCCCTTCCCCTCCCAGGACAACTTCCCCAGACACCCCGTGGGCAAGATCTTCCAATATGACACCTGGAAGCAGTCCACCCAGCGCCTGCGCAGGACCCTGCCTGCCCTCCTGCACAACCGCCGGGGTCGTGTGCTCACCAAGGAGCTCGAGCTGTTCAAGGAGGCCAAGCGTCACCGTCCCCTGACCGCTCTGTCCACCCAAGACCCCACCCACGGGGGCGCCCCCCCAGAGATGTCCAGCAATCAGAAGTGAGAAAAACTGCCTGCCACGAGTCTGCGGCCCAGCACCACCACCTCCCTCCTGACCACGGGCGTTTCCATCAGGTTCCATCGCTAAAATCTCTCGGTTCTACTTTCCCCCCGGGCTTCTCCTGACCCCAGCCCCCGTGCCCCGTCTCCCCAAAAACAGGCTACTCTCCTCTGCCCCCTCCATCGGGCTGAGGAAATACAGCAACATCTTCAAAAATGTACAAAATTGATTGGCTTTAAACATTCTCTACGCCCCCACCAAATTATCCCCACACATAAAAAATCAAACATCAAACTAACCCCTTCCCCCAACACACAACGGCCCTCTTAAAACTAATTGGCTTTATAGAAACACCAGAAAAGCTCAGAAATTGGCTTTAAAAAACCCAACAACCAAAAAAATCAATAGGCAAAAAAAAAAAAAAAAAAAATTGTCTTAGAAACAATTGGCAAAATAAAGGAATTTGGCACTCCCCACCCCCTCTTTCTCTTCTCCCGTGGACTTTGAGTCAAATTGGCCTGGACTTGAGTCCCTGAACCAGCAAAGAGAAAAGAGGGGCCCCAGAAATCACAGGTGGGCATGTCGCTGTTACCGCCATCTCCCTTCTAATCCGGCCACCCCAGTGCAGCAACAACCCAGCTGGCTTCTCACTCCTTTTCCATCACTGAACATCATTGAGCAGCCGGAGGGACCCAGTGAGACCGCAGGAGGGGAGGCCAGAGCATGAGAACCCAAATCCACACAAACACAATTTAATTGGCCCAACCCTCACCCCCAAACTTCCATCTCAATTCCCATCCTAAAAAGCACTCACACTTTATGCATCCCTGCAGCCACACCCACACAACACACACACAAACACACACATGCACACACAAGCACCCACCTGCGCATACACCTTAGCTTTTATGCGCTCACATACACACGCCTGCGCTCACATACACACGCCTGCACACACGCCTTAGCTTTTATTCGCTCACATGCACACACCTGCACACACACCTTAGCTTTTATGCGCTCACATGCACACACACCTTAGCTTCTATGCGCTCACATGCACACACATACACACCTTAGCTTTTATGCGCTCACATATACACAGTTGCACACACACCTTAGCTTCTATGCGCTCACATGCACACACCTCTACACACACCTTAGCTTCTATGCGCTCACATGCACACACACCTTAGCTTCTATGCACTCACATGCACACACACACACACCTTAGCTTCTATGCGCTCACATGTACACACCTGTACACACACCTTAGCT